ACTGCATCTTTTAGCTAGTCATAAATTGTGAAGAGATTATAAATAATCTAAGGATCTCCTGAAAACAAAGGTACCAGTTAGGAGGAGGATGGGGGAAAAAAATTCTAACAATTAGTTAGTAAAGTCAAAACAAAATTTTGTGTTTTGTTTTGTTCAGCAGGGATGACCGGAGAAACTCTTCCCCGGGGGTTTTTTTTTTTTTTTTTTTTCCAGAGGTGGCCATTCCGGCTGCTTCGCATTCAACTGTGAACTGTTCCAGTTAAAGCCGGATATCAGGCCTGCCAGGTCCGACTGGCGTCCTCCTCCATCATCAGAGCCAACTCACCATCAGGCAGTGATCAGCTGACAGAGCCGGATCTCTCTTCACCCGAGCATCGCCCACAGGTCGGATGAGACGACTCCAAAGTCTGCAAACAATTGTCTCGAGAACATCGGATTTATTCATGATGAGTGATTTGAAATTGATTTGTTTACTTATAAATCCTTTGCGCCATTTTTCTTGGTTTCGGTCATGCCAACAGCTCCTCTTCCTCAGCTGTGGAAACAGCAGGTTTGAATCTCAAAAGAATCCAATGAGCCACTTAGTCTGAAGTTCGCTGTCTTATTCTCACAGCAGGAGGTTTATCCTTCTCGTGCCACTCCGGCAGTCTGCCGCAGGGTTCCCACAAGAAGTACTTTGCCACTAAAATGAGATTATTTGCTTGTAAAAAATAAAAAAAAAAACTGTTGTGTGCTCATCTAGTAACTGATGAATTTCTTGTTTTAAGGATTCAAACAGTTTAAAGTTCTCAAACTCAAGAATCCAACAATATTTTTTCAGTATGTAAGGAGCTACTTTTTTTATCCTGTGTGATGAAGATCCAATTTCAGCTTCACTTATAAACTCCCAGAAAACATTACAATTGTGAGAAAAGAACCTAATTTCTGTGTAGGCTGTTCATTTTCACCGCTGTCTCTCATGGAACATGCTTGATTTGGAAATCTTAGGGTTAGGATAACTATAAAAACTCTTTAGGCCTGCCGTTTGTGACGCTTACCATATTAGTGTACGAGATGCTAAACACGCAGCAAAAATATCAACCCTTTAGCATTTTGCCTTTGTTTTTAAATGTTAATAAAACCTTCCTTACCAATAACAGAAATTTGGCAAAACTGAAATCAGAATCTGCTTAACGGTACGTTGAATCTTTTAAGATTTTAGATTTGAAATCAAAACCCAGATCAGTGAGTGTCAAATAAAAACTCACAGCCCAACTTTACTTATTCTTCAATGGGAAAATACATGTCACAGCTGCAAATGAAAAAAAAAAACCTTAAAAAAAAGAAAAAGCTAAATGTAAATTTGTTTAGAAATTATTTCCATGTGGTTTAGGGTGAAGAAGCGAACTCAGATTTTTCACTCCATCCCACGCAGACCACATGCAGCTGATGCTGTCATGACGAATGTGCATCTCCGACTGGGTGAGTCAAAGGCCGCGCTGCATTTTAGCTAAATGTATTTTCCCTTCTTTCGTGTACAGTGAGGAGCCAGAGGACCAAAGTCTTTACAGCTAAACGCGGGAGCGCCGCCGCTCCTCTGACCTCTGCCTGTGTTGGAAGGATGTTGTCTCAGCTTTGTTGTGGTTCTGCTGGTGAGGAAGCTCCGGGCGGATCCTCCTGCGGTGGTTCACACTAGAGTAACATTTAGGGCATCAGATCACATTTCAGCAGATTCTGCTGCACACATGCAGTGGGAAACTGCTGATATATATATATATATATATATATATATATATATATATTTATATATATATATATATATATATATATATATATATATATATATATACACACACACATATATATATGTTGCAACAAATATCTGGCTTTTTGGATGACTCGTATCAGCTTCCCACTACTGTTGCAGATTAACCCATTGCACAGAGTAAAAGAGGTATAATTAGAAGTGAGCAACAGGAAGTCATGACCAAATTAGGCTTTATGTTTTTGGTGCGTCTCTTGAAGGGAGTCAATTATTAACGTTCCCATATCAGTTTGGTTTTAATGAAACACAAGCATTGTTATTAAATCCATGTGTGCCTTGATGGCCCAGAACAATTAAACTAGACCAATGAAAACACAAGACAAAAATAAACTATGAGACATGAGTCACTACAGCTGATTATTCTTAATTAATTAATTAGAAACCATGCAAGTTGTGTTTTTGCAGCTGCAGAAAAATTAGCTCCCCCCCCCACCCCACCGAATCAGAAAACACATCAGAGAAAAATAAGCACAATCATGATGAAGACAGCAGGAATCTGAGAAAATGATGTTTCACAGCGAGGAGCCAACCCTGATGATCAGCCAAGCTGAGGTCTTTGCTCTGACCTCAGCTTGGCTCAATGGATGGACGCAAATTTCTGTCTTGTACCTCTGAGGAATCTGCAGCCATTCTAGCTGGTGTTTTTCTTCTCCCAGCGGTGCTTGTCATGTTGACCCTCCTACATCTGGTGGATTATTTGCAGTTGAGGAGTGGTCAGTCAAAGCCCTGCTTCTAAAAACTAACACTTTGTCATCTTCATAACATGCCCAGTGAGCCCCCTCACTGCCCCCCCTCCCCCAAACTCATTTCTCCTCCTTTTCTGCAGGACAGTTGCAGCCAGACTGGCGTTTTAGAGTCAGACATGTCGAACCCATGAAATGATGCTGGTTTAGGCATAACAGAATGCCTAAACCAGGCATGCTGTTTATGCCTAAACAGCGGCATATATTTGAATCCTCCAAATATATTGGAGGTTCAGCTTCTCCAATATATTTACATCAGGTGATTCCTACAAATATATGCTTGGTTGGGGGATATATTTATGGTCAGACACTGTTCTCTAGTGGTGGAAATAGGAAGTCAAACAGGAGATTTTATGGAAAATAAATATAAAATAGAAAGACAAACATTTGCTTTACTTCTTCAGTGAATACATAAATAAGTCCTTGCCTATATTTATTTAATTGTTTCGATTTGTCAGATAAATATTGAACTATTTCAGTTTATTTAAGTTTATTTCTGAATGACATGGTTAAGTTTATTCGCTAAAAACATTAAGGATTATTTTAGTGTCAAATTAATATTTTCTCTGCTGCACTGAACCATGAAATAATTCAGTTTGTCACTCTTGTGTTTCATGAACACCTTCTGATTGGTTAATCTGCACAAGTCAATTTTAGAACAACTATAATGTCCACGATTTAACACTGTCTGCTTTAATAAGTAGGGTTGACATAAAAAGTGAATTAAATAAAAACAGACAACTTTGAAACATTTAGCTGTACAGTTGAAGAATATATACAGGTTTTTAAAAATACTATATTTTTAATCAGCGGACTTTTACATAAACCATAGAATTAATGAATCATACAGGTATTTGTGTCCAGTTTTAAATTGTTTGCGACACATCTAATCATTTATTAATAGAGTTGTTTATTGATCAAGTCCTATTATCTCAATACTTTGTGGATTCAAACAATGAAAAGTGTGTGATGTGGTTCAAATGACTGAACAGTAAAAGCTTTTCACAGCTGGTACATCCATTTTTGAGAAATCTCACCATAACATAGCATTTCAATTGACATGGAAAGCCTGAAGTTGGGCGTAGGTGACATTTCAAACTTTTGTTGATGAATTTTCCATTTTTATTTCAAAATAGGAATTTAGAGGAAGTTATACAAATGACTAAATAAGGTGTGATCCCATTTGTGTTTGTAAATTGTGAAACTCTATCTGGATGTCATTACAAAGCCAGCGCTCAACATGAATAACTGAGACCAGAGGTTAACATCGTTTCCTGCTAAGTCATACATTAACTTCAAAAAGCTAATTTATAAACCACTTTGTTTATGAAAAAATTCAGAAGGCTGGGTTAAATGTAATGCTAATTGATTTGCATACCAATCCCGGTTTCTGGTAGAAAATGTATTTCTAATAGGGAAATAAATAACGTGTTGCTGTAGCAGAGCTGTAATAAAACAACAGTCCTTACAGTTATAACACATCCGCTTCAGTCTGATGCACTTCAATAATTCAAAAGGCCAGATACTGAGTCTAGCAAATTCATCTTTTCTTCAACAAAAACAAAACTTGTGCCTGAGTCGAGTTAGAGACTATAAAGTGAAGATTTGGAATCAAATGCTATTAACCAAACGTTATTGTTTCTCTCAACCAAACCTGGGAGAATTTTATTTTCAAGACAAGCACTACTAAAACGATGAAAATGTTTTTACTTTTTCCACCCTGTAAATTTAACAAGACATCAGCCTTTCTGAGCCGATTCAATTTTAAAACACTCTTCAATGAGAAACAGTAATACCCAAGCATTACAAAGTCAAGACAATCCTGACTTAACATTTTTATTCATAATTCAGCATAAATTCCACTTGCAAATGGTGGAAAAAGCCAACAAGTACAATTTAATGAATTGTGACACTTAAAACTCCTCATATAAACCTGTATTTCCTAGATTCAAAGTAAAAAAAAAAGTTCCTGTTTCATAAAGAGAAACTTCTATTGATTAAAAATAATAAAACCTTGAACAAACAAAAACAGGGAGGACTCTGGTGCTGAGGTTAGGTCCATGAAACCCAGGTGTTATAAGCATCTGAATTTATTACAGTCGGGGTGGATTCACAATGAAAATGGTCAATTTGTACAACTGACAACTACAGAGGAGAAGATCACTACCAATTAAAACAAACCTAGCAGGAAAAATCATTAAAATGTATGGCAAAAAATAAAATAAAATAAAATAAAAATGTTGTGACATCCATGAAAAGAAAAAAAAAAAAGACCATTCAAAAACTGTACAACATCATGGGAGTCAGTAGCGTCGACCGAAAGCTCCTCCCTGGATGCCGCCGCCCTGCATCATCTGGTTCTGTCTGTTCAGAGCTCCAGACAGAGACTGAGACGTTCCTGTGTTCATGTAACCTCCACGACTGCAACACACGACACACACACATGACTATGTGCTGGAACCTTCCAAGCCTCTGGGCTGCAGATGAGCAGACGAACTTAATATATGGAGTAAAAGCTCATGATCTGCTCACCCTGCCATTCCTCCACGTGGCATGTGGCTCTGGCCTGGAATGCCACCATCTCTACCTGGATTCAGGAGAGCAAACATCCATCATCAGACGTTTTGGTCCAACATAGTAAAACTACCAGAACCAGTGGAAGTATTCACAGCCTTTACCATTTTTAACATTGTCATGCAAGAACAGAAGCTAGCATCCTTTTGTTACATTACTAGACTGTCTGCAGGTAAATAGATTAAAAAGCCTGTGTAACATATATTGTTAATTATTTAGCTACAATTACAAATATATTAACTACGTAGCCACTTTAATATTGACAAATTAAATGTCTAAGTCATTAATTAAGAATTTAGTTCCTGTTTCTCCTCTGAACTGTTGGATACATTTTCTTTTCTTTATGTATAACAACTCATTAGTTTGACACCAGCTAAAGATCCATAGGTTATTTTTAAAGAAAACCATGTGACAGAGCAAACATTACTTTCTGCAGAAGAGGCTAAATTCTGCAGGAGGCAGAAAACAATGAACACTAATATTTCATTGACAGAATCATGCAGTGGGATTTGCTTTTCCTTTGCACGAACATGGAAGCTGGTCAGAGCCTGATAGATTGAGCTAAATACATAACGAGAATCTAAGAGCGTCTGCAAGAGATTGAAGTTTTTAATTTCCAGCAGGACAATGACTAAATATACAGTTAAAGACACAATGTGAGTCTTCATGTGCTAGAACAACCAGTTGTAGCTTAACTGCAACAACGAAGAGCTCAAACATAATTAACATGAATGAAATGGGTCGTTTCTTTTTTTTATTTTTGTTTAAGTTTTCAAGGTATTGAAAATGCTGCCACTTATTTTACATCATGTTCAGTTTCAGGGTATGCAAGATATACAAGTTCACCAGCTGCTACCTTGCCACGGTCTGTCTCCATCCATCTTTCGGCCAGAGTCCCAGTCGCGGCCACCGTCCCTGAAAGAAAGAGAATTGACCTGGTGAACAGCAGATCGGAGCTTAACCAGAAGCTGGGGTCAAATCCAAGTGCTGCTCACCTTGGGTTCATGCGCTTGTCGTAGCCTCCGCCCCACGAATCTCTGCCGTGTCTGTCTGAGAAGTGCTGCACAAGACACACAAGTTATCGCCTTGATGCTCCCTGTGCATTTCTTCAAACCAAACTAAGCTGTTTTAAAGAAAGCTGTTCATTTTCTAGTTAGGTGTTCAGAGCACTGCTGTGAGCTTAAAAGATTCAGAATGAAAGAAACGTTGTGATCAGACCCTCTGAACCTCGTTTTCTCCTGTTTTTACTACAAGATGGGGATCTCAGTCATCTCACCTGTCCGTCGTCTTGGAAACGGCCACGGTCTCTGTGGTCGAAGTCCTGGTAGCGATCCTGGCGACCGAAGTCTGAGCGGCCAAAACGGTCATCCATAGCCATGCGCTTGTCAGGCCAGTCGTCTTTTCTGGAAAAAAAAGAAGTGACTACTGTAAGATGTATCTCCTTTTGTTGACACAGATCCCACTCCGGACGGTCACTGTGCTGCCTACCTGTCCATGTCGTACGGCCTCTTTACGGGCCGTCTGTCCTGTTCAAAGCGCAGCTGCTCCTGCTGCCTCCTCAGCTCCTCGCGCTCCCTCATTATCCTCTCCTGCTCGCGCCGCCGCTCGTACTCGATCCGCATCCTTTCCCGCTCCAGGAACTGGCGCTCCATCCGGTCTGCCTCCAGCCGCTGTTTCTCCACCTGACGACACAAACGTCCCCCATCAACAAACGGGTTTTTAGGATTTCATTATGAGGTGAAGTACGATTAAGATGGAAGGACATTTTGTAAAATTGTTACTCTGATCTGACCTCCAGCCAGCGCCGGTTATTCATCATCCTTTCCTCTCTTTCTCTGAACATTCGGATTCGTTCGCGCTCTGACGGGTTGTCACGGTTGCGATCACTGTAGATGAAATGGTCATAAATTTAACCTCGTACATCCAATGATGTTCAAGCTAAATAAATCTCTTGTTATTTTTATTTATTTTTTTTTACTTATCCTTACTTGAATCTGAATCTTTCAGCCTCCCTCATCTCCCTCTCTCGCTGCTTCTGTTTCTCCCTCTTTCTCTGCGCCTTGATTTGGGCAAACGTCAGGATGTCTTTTCTCTCTTTGCTGGAAGAGGCACGACTCCGACTCTTAGAACTCTAAAGAAACGCGACGTGAGAAGCGTTAGAAATAAAAAGTCATCATATCTGTACACCATGAACTTCATGACAAGACATTTTCAAAATGGTAGAGGAAAAAGAGATCCAGAGTTTAAATATCTTTCAAAGTGAAGCAGCTGAGGGATTGTTTTCTTACCCTCTCCCTGCTTTTGCTTTTGGTCTTGACGCTGACAACAGGCTCTCCCTTAGACTTGTCCATGACTACAGTCCTCTCATTTTGATCTGTGAATAAAAACAAATTGCTAAACTTTAGATGCTAAGTGACTTTTTATTTAAATTTGATTAATTTGTATTGAAGTTAAAAAAACAAAATCACCTTTGTCATCTTTGCCCTCTCCTTCCGGTTTGTCATCCTTTTCAGACCTAGACAAATATATGAAATAATTTTCAGCATCAACCTCATGCTCGACTTCAGTTTTCTGTAACTCATTCTTAGTTTTTTACAAGATGAATAATTGGCAAAGCACCTTTTAAACAAACATTCAAGACGAAGTTAGCACACCAAATGAATTTTGTATTCTTACTTGGAGTCAGTCGAGTGCCTCCTGTCGCTGGCAGCCTTGTCAGCCGGCTTTTTTCCGGCAGGCTCATTTTTAGCCTAAAATGAGAAAATATAAGTTCTTAAATAAAGAAGTCGTTTCTTTGCTTAAGAGTACTTTCTACTGATTTGACCTAAAATAATAAATATTCTGATTAAAACACAGTCACATAGTGAATATTCATATAGTTCCCAGCAATGTATGAGAAGAGGAAAACTCCCTTGGGGCATCTGAGCATGCACAGTACAACATATAGTAGAGAAAAACGATGAATATAATATGCAACATTTATCCCCATGTCAACAGTTGATATAAACATTTTATTGATGTTTACAGGTACACAGGTATGGCCTGTTTCTAGGCATCATCCATGAAGTTGAAGAAAAATACTTGAAACATTTTTTTAACCTTTTGTTGAGATGCTGTCAACAGGACACTGTTTAGTTCAAATAAACAGGAGTTTAATGGTTACATTTCATTCTAATGTAACCATTAAACAAATTATACAAAGACTATCAGAACGTCTTCAGAGAGATTGGTTTGCGTGTTACTAAGGGGAACTTTAGAGTGTTAAAATTGTTTCTGTTGTACAAATTCAAACCCGTACTGAAACGTGCAGCCGTCTCCACTACTATTTCTGTGAACGATAAACGTGACATTCGTATTCTTACCCGCTCCACAAAGATCATCTTGCCGTGCAGCTCGGTCCTGTGAAGGTGACTGATGCAGATGGTGGCCTCGTCTGAGGTAGACATGGTGACAAAGCCGAAGCACCGAGCCCCCGGGCTCTTAGCATTGGTCACCACCTTTACGCCAACAACCTGCATGGAAGACAATAAGACCAACAACAAACAATTACAAGTTTTAGTTTAGTTACATTTCAACTAATGTAGGATGCACAAAACTCAAGTGTAGAGTGCAAACTTTACTGGTTGTTTTCCTTAAAATGTTTTGTCTGAATGGTTGTTGATGGATTTTCATGTTTATATAGTAATATTTATTCAGAAAACCAGAGCTGTAAAATAATTCATAAATAGCCATAATTTCCAACATTTGTTTAATGTGTAAACATTAGACTTGTACCTGTTTGACAGAATGGGAGCACGTTTAAAAGGGTTGAATGTGAAAACAGTCTCTGTCACAAGATGGATATCATTGGCTGAAGTGATTCAATTAAACATTTCAGAACAAAGAAGTCTGAGACTCTGAGAAACAGGGAAATACTTTTATATTTCATTACTTAATATGACAGCTCTCACTTTACGCCCCAGTCTAGTTTTGATTGGCCGAACAGTCTGCGAGGATGACTCCTCTCCCAGAAGCACATTTTTTCCAAGGAGTTAAGTTGTGAGACTCACCTGACTGCCTCAGGCAGACTGAAGAGTAATTTCAGAATCCGTTGCAAGATTTCGGTTCAGTTTTTCTTCACACACACTGAAGCTTTAGTAGCCTAAACATATAAACCTACTAAGGAAAGATTTTCTCTTTAGTCACTTGATTCTGATGTGATCCAAAGTGAGGAACCCTTAGACATCCACAAAGCCTGTATCAGGAGAGATAATTCACCTCGTAGCCTCATGAGCACCCTGCTGTACGCAGACCAAACCCCTGTTAGAGCAAAAAGTCAAATACTAAAAGTTGGTGGTAACCATAACAGGAAAGACTAGAGGTGATTCTGTGAGTGCTAAAATCTGGTTAAGTACGACATTTTTTCCTGTTCTATTGTGTCGGTTCTGTTGCTGAAAGCTGATGGTTTAAAGTTGGTTTCGAGGACTAATCTTCCATTTTCCACCTTTCTCCCTTTTAATTTAAGTAGGAATAAGAACTCAGTGCTTTAGGATTTGAACAGTTTAGATAAAAAGTATTTAAACATTCACTGCAGTTTACATTTTCAACATATACAGAGGTTCGCAAATTAATTTGCATTGTTCATCTTTAGATTTGTTTGCCAAGTTAATTAGTGCTTGATAATTAAATATAACGATTGATTCTGTTATGGATAACCCTCTCAAATACACTTCCTTTTTAACTGAACTGCCAATTATAAATGAAGTCTATAAATATGCAGAATTCTCCGGATTCTTCACTCAATGTCTAAGAGATTGCTCAAAGGGAAGGAAGTGAGTTCATCCTTTGGATTGATTTATTAATATCCCTGATTTTTGGCCCTGAATTAATTTAGCATGTCTTCGCATTGCTACACTCACCTTGCCGTGTTTGCTGAATAGTGCCTTTAGATCAGTCGCTCTGCTGGTGGAAGAGAGACCACTGACCCACAGATTTCTGCTACTGCTCGCTGCAACGATAGATAAAAGATAAGTGAGCTTATATAGGCTAAAGACTTGGATGACGGGGAGAGAGAGAAAAAACAATCCTTCACCTTTTTCATCCTTTGTCTCCGTCTTGCCGTCTTTTTCTTCAGAGCTAGAAAGAAAGGAAAAAAATGTGAATAAACAAAAATAACAGAGCGTACCGGAACTCCTGACATATTTACACTTTTGTTATTAAGCGTTCATGTTTCAGTAAAGTGATTTAATGGTGAATAAATGACAATACACTCTCACATTCATTACTCATTAAATAGTAAAGCGAGACAGGTGAGTGCAGGGAATGGCAAAATCATCACAACGCCGCAGGAAATTTTTCTTTTTTTTTACCTCCAAAGAGCATCCAAATTTTTGAAATCACAAAAGGGCCAATGCAACAGAGATAGCCATTTTGGTTTCTAGTAGACAGAAAGCAACAAACCTCTTGTTCTGATCATCGCCCTCTACTGAAGAGGACTCTTTCAGTGCTGAGGTTGAATCCGCGGCAGCCTTATCCACAGTCTTCTCGTCCTTCTCACCCTTCTTAGACCCCTTTTCTGAATCAACAGATTCACCCGAGCCGCCCTGTTCGCTTACACTAACAGCCTGTGAGTTTTTGTTTTCAGAGTCAAGTGTCTCTTCTGGGACAGTATTCACATCCCCGGTCTCTTTGGCGTCATCCCCATCGGCAGATGCAGCGCTGCTGGCCTTGGCACCAGCGTTGGACACGCCATCTTCCCCTCCGGCGGCTTGCTCTTCTTCGGGGCTCTGGTCCTGGTCTTCTTTTAGTGGCTCTGATAAACAAGACCCGGCTACTTTGTTATTTTCTACGGATTTAACAGGAATAGAATGGCACAGAGTTTAATCACTTCTGAAACACATCAATGCTTTACGAGGAACTGGCAAGGCCTGGATTACGAAACTCATGGCCACCTGGCTGCGCTCTTAAAATGAAGTATTAAAACGAAGAAGACCCTAACCTAACAAAGAGACTGGAAGAGACCCCAAAGGCTGCAGAACGACCAATCAACTAAGGTGCGGCAAACACTTTGGTTCGTCTCTTGAGGAGAACCTCCCAGCACTAGTCACCTGATCCAACACACACAGATCGTGTTCAGCGCTGATGAGAGCCACAAAACCAGCTGTGCAGCAGCAGCCAAGGCTCGCTGCATATCCGTCTTCTTCCAGCAAGGCGCATCCAGGGATCCACGTTTTTTTTTTTTTTTCAACAGAACTTCAGCTCAACTTGAGTCGATTCGTCCAAATCATTTATGAATCACACAAATCTTATGGGATCTTCTTCATCTTAGTCTTCATGTGGCAACCCTAGAAACACTACAAGCAGCTGCAAAGGCTCAGTCGGCCCTCACCATAAGGAAAATGCAATTGCTGACCAAGTGCGTAAGACTGTTAACCACAGCTGTTTGAACAAATCAAAACAAATAATCTGTCCTTCTCAAGCAGTGATGATTTTTATTTCAATAGGTTAACAAACCTCTGGCGCAAAGTCAGCAATTTCCTTTGGGCTTCCAGTCTCTCCTTCTGGTTGTAACTAATCTGTTTGCAAATCCAAACTTGACACTAAAATGACCCCTTGGTAGACCTTCTGCTACAGTACCTGTCAGTCCTTCTTCAGCGCCGTCATCTGGATTCTGGAAGAAACCAAAACAGACTGATGAGGCGGTGGTCACTTTAACGTCTTTTCAGAACTTTTAGATGGACGTTAAACCAGGTTCTTCAACATCTTCAAAACGTTCCTATATTAAATGCGTTACATTTTTCCAGAGGTTGGTATAATATTCTGGAAATGTTTTTCAATACACACACACAAAAAATGTTTTCTTGCGTTCTTTACAATCTATACTGGACAAATTTTAGGACGTATCACTTCTGATGTGGTCTATGAAAAACAGAGGAAGACGTGTGAATATAATTAACAATAAAATTCGGTAACACTTTATTTGAAGGGGTAGGGGATTTGAAGACTGACATGACACTGTCATAAACATGACATAATATCTCTCATGAACATCAAGAAGTCTTTATGAATGTTTATGACAGTTGTCATGAAGTGTCATTCGGTAAATAATGACATTTCTAATGCAAAGTTGCTCTAAAAGTTGCATTGAAAATCCATTAAAAATGCCAACTTTGCATTAAATTATTATAATTTACAAAATTATGCACATTCATAAAGACTTCTTTATGTTCATGACAGATGTTATGTTTATGACAGTGCCATGTCAGTCTTATGCACACCCCTTCAAATAAAGTGTTACCTAAAAATCTTTGCGCTTTCAAGAAATTTTGATTTTTATCTTAAAAGAAATTGAGTAAAGAACAGCCTGAAAACAAACAGTTTTCCCTATTCAGTTCTCTTTTCTGCACAATTATCCACACAGTTGTAAAACTACAGTGGCAGATCTTATGCTTCTAACTTAATTTACTAGAACTTCATCCCTTTTACCCAACTGATAAATATGAGAAGTGAAATCTGAGCCGTTTTGATTAAAAGTCTTTGTAAGTTAAGCTGATAATCGTATCATCTTACCTCTGGACCTTGAGGCTCTTGTCCTGACCCAAACTCAGTGAAGTCGTTTTCATCCTCCAGCAACGCCTCGTCGTCTCTATCGTAATTTCCTTCATCGTCCATAGGGTCCCCTGTTGGCATCCCACTTTCGTTCTCAGTCTCATCCAGAACATTCATGTCAAGGATGTCCATGTCCTGCATGTTCTCGTGGTCGTCCTGCATGTTCACGTGGTCGTCCTGCATGTTCTCGTGGTCGTCCTGCATGTTCTCGTGGTCGTCCTGCATGTTCTCGTGGTCGTCCTGCATGTTCTCGTGGTCGTCCTGCATGTTCTCATGGTGGTCCAGAAAGTCTTCCTGAAAAGGACATATAAAAATCAATCCCACCATTTCTGCAATAAGAGCAGCATTTTAACTTGAGTAAAAACAATTACTTTTCAAAAATAAACTTACTTGTCCATCACGCGAATCCTCCTCCAAAGGAACTTCTTCTGCTTCCTCGTCTTGCCGGGAATCTGGGGAGGAAATGTGTTTTTTCACACAGACATGAGATGGTGGTACAGTTAGCTATTAAACAAAATAAAACAGTACACCATCTGCAAATTCTAAGACTAAATTGTATTTTATAACAAGGTAAAAAAAAATATTAAGGTTTTTGGAACAATTTTTAACACTCTACATGTCTGCCAGATTGTTTGTGGGGAAAAAACAGTATCATTACATGGAGATAAAAATATTCCGCATCACCTAATGGGGAAATACAAAATACAAAGTGTGCAGGGTGGTTGACAGCAAATATTCCCTCAGTGAATCACCAGCTGCAGGCCTGATTTATCCAAACAGTTGAATGACGTTAGCTAGTTGCTTCCAGCAGTTGCCTTACCTTTGGCGGTACGCTTGGGTGTCGATTTTTTGGGGTTCGAGTCCGGAATGAGGACAATCTGATCTGGGTCTCCCCCTTCTTCCTCAATTGCCTGTTTGTGAATGATAAAGTAAAACAGATTAGCAGTGTGACTCTATAATAATAATAATACATTTGCAGACTCTCGAGATCAGCCCAGCTAGCCCAGCAAGCTAGAGGTGATAGCTTTCCGTTAAGATTGAGCTTCGAAAAATGCACTTGAAAAACTAACAGAAATACGGAGTCAAATACTGAGTGCGTTTTGCATAGCGTTGCCTTCATAACACTGCGCTACAGTTTCGTTGAACAGGACATAAGCTTACCCTTTTGAGGCGCTCCGACAGCACGCTCTTTACGCCAGTTGTGTCGAGGTTTCGTTTCTTGAGCTCGGCCTTTAAGTCGATGACTCGCAGCTCCGACAGCTTACGGACCTCTGCGCCCTCCGGCATATCCACGTCACCGGACGGGTTTGCCATAGTTCTGCCCGAAAATATTTATAAACCCTTTAAACAGCCCTCAAAATAAATGTATTTTTCTTAGCGCTGCCTCACAAATAGAAGCACCGGACTTGCAAAACCGAGAGCAAAATGGCGAACGACTGGAGCCGAGATGACGTCAATGCGCATGCGTAATTCGGAACTGTTGCGGGAAGCCAGTCTGGGAGTCTGAGTAGTCAAAGACAAGAATACGGTCCAGATATTCTTCTTCTTCCACCTAAATAAAACTCATTTAGAGCGGCAAATGACTCAATTTTATTTACAATGTTAAGTTTTTTTAAATAAAAAAAAAATCCACTTTTGCAAAAAGTGGTTACATATATTTTTCTTCTGTGGAAAATTATAAGAAACATAGTTTTCAACCTAAGAAAAACAGATCTAAAATATATATTTGTGGCACTTTTCGTATTGTTTACAATTCAAGCAGTTACTCAGTGAAAAAACAAACAAACAAATAAATGTATCTATTTTTTTAACTGTTTTTTTTTTCTTTATCATTTTTAACCAAAATCATTAAGAGAAGATCATAAGATTCCTGCAAGTTGCAGACCCGTGGCTTCGCTAAACCAGGGGTCTCAAACCTCATTCCTCAAGGGCCAAATGTCTTCCTGCTCAATATTAGCTCATTAGAGGAGCTCTGCATGCTACTGAAACAGTTTCACCTTTTAATACAAGCGTGACAAAAGATACATCTATCATTAAAGAAAATACGAAACAGCAGATAGGGAAGCAAAGAAGACAACAACAGGGCAAGTCAGTTTTACAGTAAATATAAGCAAATCAGAAGCAAAAAGTATAATTAAGCAAAAATTGTGGCAGAAAGAAAAATGGAAGAATGGGATGAAGATAACAAAGGATAGGATTCAAAAGAGAGTAGAAAAGAGCAAAAGAAGAGAGGGGAAACTTTTAGTAAGATTAAGATTTGGACATACTGCACTCAACTACAGTTCACTTTTTAGAATACAGCAACATTACACATGATACTGTGCAGAAAATGAAACAATGAAACATGTTATATTAGTTTGTAGAAGATGAGATAGAAAGGAGATTAATGGAGGAATTTAGAAGAAATAAAGAAGCATTTAATTTAATAAGAATACTATCAGGAAATTTAGATAGTAAAAAATATACAAATTTTAATTAGTTTGTTTTTGTAAACAAAGTTAATTAATATAATATGTTTTGTAATTGAAAAGGATATGCAACAACATCACATCCAGTCCAAATGCATAAGAAGCTTGTAAAATGATGCTAAACTGAGCAAACCAGATGAAGTCATACTACATTTTAATTGTTTAATTTGATCTTTAACTCAGTGTATTCAGTGTAGTATCATACAAATAAGAACAGGCTTATAACAAAAGAGGGGAAGTACAAATAAACATTAACTAAATGACAAAAAATATGTGTAGAAAAAATATCTATGTTGTATTTTTTTAATTGGTTATGCAATGCTTTTTATCGTATACAAAACATGGGAATAGTCTTAGTGCACATTATAAAATGATAATCTATCCATGTTCAAACATGTGCAATATGATCAATGCCATTTTTATACATGGTATGTACTGAATGCAAATCAGCAATTAGCCCCAGCCCAAAAGCATACGTTCATTTTCTATGAACCTATGAGACGTTGGAGAGCATTACAGAAAAAAACACATCATAATTAAAAACACTTGTGATTAACACCATACACAAAGATAATATTTATATTTTACTCACAGTCTGTTTCATACATTTCATATTTTTGTTTATATTTAGATGTAAAAAAAAAAAAAAACAATAACTCAGTATTAAAAAGCTTGAAATGTTAATTTGCATAGAAAAACATGGAAATAATGTCCTAGAGTAAGATGCTTATAAAGAATGGAGGTTGTACATGTCACTAAATTTGTAGTTAATTTCATTGACTTGGCTGTGGGGCAAGCTTTTGCTGGCAGTCAGAGGTTGATGCGAATCCAATTCTCCCGGACTGTCGCTCTCCTCTGGTACGTTGGCACCCCTGAATAAAGTCAGAGAGTCAGACTGGGAAACTGCGCTGCCAGTGTCTCCATAGTGTGGCCACGTGTTTGAAGGAGAATCGATGGAGGCAAAGGAGGAGCTCTCCGGGCAGCTGAAGGAGTCGAGGCTGGGGCCCGGGATGGCAGAGCAGCTGCTAGACGTTCGAGATTCGTGGAGGTTCAGCTTGGAGACCAAGGGTTTGCCCACCGAGACTGGCAGCCGCTCCACCACCTCTTCGTCCATGTTGGAATACGTGTAGTGAAGGCAGACGGTGAAGGTGAGGTCCCTCTGTGAGTTCAATGAATAGCAAAATGCCTTCTTTAGAAGGACATCCTTGTGAAATGACTCAAACAAAAATATTTAACTGTTTGTGTATCTTTATGAAAAGAATCATTCTAGAAAAGGCACTTCTAATTTTGCATCAGCATTACATCATTTATGTATTTATTGTATGTCTATATTAAATTATTGATTTTTTTCACTTTCCACAATGAATGTAAATTTTAAAATGTCACAGTGTTGTGCAAAAGTCTTGAGTCATCCAATGTTTAATAAATGTATGCATCACAAGAATATTGCGATTTTTAAGCGTAATACATTAGAAATAAACTTAAGGGACATAGAGTACAACTAATGTTCTGCACAAGGGGTATACAATAGTTTGCCAATTTGCAACACCAGTCCCTGGCTGGGCTTTTAACAAATAATTTAGCAAAGGTCCAAATTTAAATTAGATCTTAAGACCCTTTAACACAGCCTGTATGTCAGAAAGATCAGGCTTTTCTTTATTTAAATGAATAAAATACAGCCATTGTCCAAGGAAAGCTTGGACAACAAATTGATTAAGTCAACATTTAAAGATTACAAGAGCGTCCGGGTCCTTGAAAGTAATGTATAACTAAATTCAAGGCTGGAAAAACAAGCTGCTGCAGATTTTTTTTCAAAGTAGACATTTTAATGTTTTCACCAAGATTTGTAAACACAAGCAGATGTCTGACCTTGAGTCTCTGCAGACTGCGGATGCGTGTGTAAAGACTGTGCTCCTCCAGTGAGGGGAGTTCCTCCTTAATCAGCAGCAAACAGCCGGCTTCAAGCAGAGTCTCCTGATTACTCTTCTTCAGGTCAATGTCCACTTCCTGTGAAAGGAAAATCAGAAACATTGTGAAACTCCTAGCCCAGTTTTTGTGCTTTTTAAAGATGCGCATCAGGTCTTTAAAGCGACCAAATGATTTTTGATTTGGTTTTACTGGTTTTAAAAAGAATAATGTTACAAAACTCTCTCTATACACATTCTTCACGGAGTCATTCTTCTGTCATATCAAAACAGTTTAATGTTGTTTTTCTGGGATGCTTAATATATTAGTATGAAATGTTAAATAAAATCTCAAAATTGTTAAAATCAAACATTAAATCAACTGAGCCAGTGTGTATAATTTTAAGCTGGTGGAGGTTCTGTCTGTTGACAAAATTCTTATCTTGGTTGTAAAAACCAACAGCAGAAATAAAATTGTGTGTCTTTAATTCAACTATAAAAACTTTATGATTATTTGTTCATCATGATAAGCTAATTCCTCTAAAAAGGTCATTTAGGGTTTTGTGGCCCAAGATAAAATTTTATTTGGTAGAAGCGACAACAAAAATGGCTTTGGACTGAAAAGAGTAATAACATCTGCTTTACTATAAATTACTTTGAGTAATAATAGTCAATATGTCTAGAGGATGGATGTCTAGTACAATTTATTAAGATAGAATAAGCTTTTGGCACTTACTCTTTGCTACTTTGGTTATTAACTTTAGAAAATTGAGGTTTATAAAAGATAGGGGGGAAAATATTCCAACACAAGGTAACAAGAACTGTTGTTAAAGGGCAACAAGGAAGTTCATAAAACAATTAACTTTACGGTGAGTACCGTACAAGAGAGAGAAAAAAGATGCTCATAAAAATAACCTGATGAATTTTATGTGTCATTTGGTGCCATTCTGGACAGGCCAGTAGGTCTCTATCAGAATGAGAAAAATTATATAACTCCCTCCTAGTTTACTTCGTTTATCTCCCCAAAGTCTTATTCATGAACCTCTTTTTGACATTAATTTATTAATAGTAAGAGGCTCTACCAGCAACGCAGCAGGATCCTTTTACTGGTTAAAAAGAAGTGCAAACATTTATAAAGATACCTTTAAAACAGGATTTAAGCATCAAATTGAAAGGGAAAAAAAATCTGCAATTAGTATTTTATAAACTTCCATGAAAATAGAAATGTAGGACATTACATTACTAAAGGTGACATCTTCCTCATACCCACTAGATGCTTTTTATATCACTGAAACTTGATGAAAATAAGATTTAGTTTGGTGTTAATTTAGCTTCTATTTTGAAGTGCATAAAAAATCCTGGATCAGAATAAGTCGCCCCCAGGAGTCGCACACCTGTGGGAAGTCTGTAAGCTGAGCGCTGCAGGAATCTATCTCTGCAGGTTTCTCAAGTATCCGAGTGTAGATGACCATGATGTTGGAGAATTCTGCCGCAAACCCGAGCTGGACCTTCACACCGCAGTCAAAATTGAGGGAGCGACTCTCAGGCAGAACTGGTAAAACAAAAACATCCTTAAATTAGGCGATCTAAAAGTATGATGAGTAACTTTAGTAGCATTTAATCAATTGAGTTTTTCAATTTTCTACCATGAGCAATGGCCCACTGCAGATTCCGAGCCGAATCGGAGGCAGAACTGTCCAATGGCTGAATGCGGTCAGTGAGGGAACGCCGCTCAGACAGGTTGCTGCGCAGCTCCAGAGCCTGCCTTCCTCTTGTAATCGCGCAGCGACCCATGTCTGGAAAGAATCAGCAACTTTGAATAAAAGGAAAATCTAAATCTCACCGCCCTCAGCAGAACACAGGTACATTAGGATTTATATCCAGATTCATCTGAGTGAGACAAAGATCCTATAAGAGGTGCTAAAAGTTTTTAATTCACAATATACGCATAACATATTGAATATATCATCATTAACTCTTGCTTAGTTCTGACCCATCATTCTGTCTGTCTGATTTCCGCCTCCTATGACTCTGCACTAAGTAGCAAACAGAAGTCCACCCATTGTGATAACATGATCCACTTATCATGG